AAATTTTGGTCAATGACATGAGACAAAGTATATGTGAACTGCTGTATGAAAAGTGAATTTACTCTGTAAATCTCTACCCAAATCCTAAAAAAAAAAAAGAATATGAGGAACAGGTGAAGGAGATCTTCACCTGCCTGTGATTTTTATCATTTGGATTTATTCAGGGAGAGGGAAAAATTCCCATTACCCCTCTCCAGCTTTTAAAAGGTGACTTGACACATGGCCATAGATACCTCAGGTTAAAACAAACAAACAAACGGAAAGAAACCTACTATGATAGAACGAGTTTTTGGACCTGTGGGCTGAGGGCCATGGTTGTGAGGGATATCAAGTTCAACTGGCATAACATACTACACAAAAACATTGTTCTACACCCTACTTTGGTGAGAAGAGACTGGAGTCTTAAAAGCTTGCAAGCAGTGGCCACCTAGATATACCAAATGGTGTCTCCTCATCCAGAGCAAAGAAGAATGAAGAAAACCAAAGATGCATGGAAGCAATTAGTTCAAAGGACGAGTGGACCATGCAAACCTTAGCCCATATGACCACCAGCCCAGAAGAACTAGATAGTGCCAGGCTACCAGTGGCCTAGCAGTAAGGGAGATCCTGGTTAGAATGGGAGAACAATGTGGAACAAAACTCAAAATTATAAAAAAGACCAGGCTGACTGCTCTGATAGAGCCCTTGAGACTATGGCCCCTAGTCACCCTTCAGGCCTGGAATTGAACTCACTCCTGTGCTTCCAGCCAAACAATGTTGTTGTGGTTATGAGCCATCAAGTCGGACCCAACTCATAGCGACCCCTCCTTGGGTTTCCGAGGCAGTATCACTACAGAAGTAGATTGCCCCATCTTCCTTCTGAGGAGTGGCTGGTGGTTTGAACCACCAGCCTTCTGATTAGCAGTCAAGTGCCTTAGGCACTAGGCTACCAGCTCCTAGCCAAACAATAGACAGGCATACAGGGTAAACATTTACACCAGGTAGATATACTCCCTCGAATGATCAATCATGGGAGAACATAAGGGAGATAGCTCAAGTGGAGGAATGCATAGGAAAGGAAGACACACAGAAGAGGTAACTACGGGGAGGAAGTGACAAGAGACCTGTTACAATGCAGGCACTGCAGTCAGTCATGAAACAAAATGTGTATCAACTCCTGTATGGAGAATGAATTTGCTCTGTAAACTTTCACCCAAATCACACAAAAAAATTAAAGAACAAAACAAGACCCCAACTATTTGTACTTTTCTCTGCCGACATGAGGAGAGAAATCTCATCCAAGTAAATAAATCTTGAGCAACTTAAAGTGGCAAAGGTAAATAAAATTTCACTTTAATGATTTTTCAGTATTTCTAGTTAATATCATGCTTGGTAAAGTAGAGAGTCAGTGAGAAAGGGGAAGACCCTCAATAAGATGGATTGACATAGTGGCTGCAACAATGAGCTCAAGCATAGCAAAGATTCTGAGGATGGCACAAGACCCGGCAGTGTTTCATTCCGTTGTACACAGGGTCACTGTGAATCAGAGCCGACTAGACAGCACCTAACAACAACAGTTAACTGCCAAGTCTTAAGTGAAAGCGCCATAGAAAAGCAGCATGTTCCAACAAGAAAGAGTCAGCAAACCAGGGTTCCCAATCTTCTAAGAGTTACTCAAGTGCTTGTGTCTCTTCTCCTGGAAAATGAGAATGATTACACCCTCTAATTTCTTCTCTAGTGCATAGTAAATGGGCATACAATAGTACCTAAGCAATCAAAAGTCTCTATCTAAATAGAATATTATTAATCATTCTTTTTCATTTGCAAATACAAAAATGACCTTCTTCTTTCTCCTTCTTCCATCTTTTTGACAAAATAGGTGTTCTTCAATCCCAAGTTCTCAGTGTACAAGAGTTCACACCTATAGAAACTTTCCTCAACCTCAAACCCTACCCAGCAAGTTATTTACTTCTATTTTCTAATCAGTCCCCACTGAATGTTTAGTGATTGTTTTTATATTGATCTACAGATACAGGGAAATGAGTTTTACACAAATAAACAACAATCAAAATAAAATTAAAGACAAGAATGACTTCACATGTGTGTTGTGGTCAGAAGGCTGATCGTTAAGGACATCAATAATGAGAAATTAATTACCTTGGGGTTCTCCGCAAACTTCTTCTTGGCCACTTTCCTAAGGCTTTCCTCAATTCCCTTTTTAGATTTTGCCAGGATGTCCTCTGTCTGGTCAACCAATACTACGGTGTGGCCAGTTGCTGCAGCAACCTGAAGCAAAAAGAAAAAAAACATTTAAAGAAAAAAACTTTAAGTCTTTTAAAACTTTAAAAATATTAAACAGCATGGAAGTTTCATGTTCACATGAACTCTACCATCATCCCATCTCAAAATGATAAGTAACTAAACACACAATTTTTGTGGGGCACTATTTTCAGCCCTTTATGTGGATTAAAACAAATTCCCAAAATAACCATCTAAAGTCAAGAAACTTCCCTACAGTCACACACTGGGGTGTCAATCAAGGTGGTCCCACTCTGGAACCCACACTCTAAGCCCTTACCTGTAGTGTCCAAAGTAAAATGAAAACTCCAGCTCCTCAGTCACATTAGCTCAACAGCCCATTCACTCCCCAATCCCACAACCATTTTTCCTTAGAGTTATGGTGGCATAGTACCTAAGGCATTTGACTGCTAACCAGAAGGCTGGTGGTTCAAACACACCAGCCACTCTGGTTCAATCCCACCAGCCACTCCTCAGAGGAAGGTTGGGCAATCTACTTCCGTAGTGATAACAGCCTCAGAAACCCAAGGAGGGGTTGCTATGAGTCGGATCCAACTTGATGGCAGTGAGTTTGATTTTGGTTTTTTATTGTATCCCATGCAGCTTGAGGTCTTGGCCCTTCCACTGCAGTCTTTAAATTAGCAGCAGGTAAGACCACAAACTTTCCATTAATGGTAACAAAAAGACCCCTGTCACCAAAGGGCTATTTTATGACAAGACTCTCATGAAAGTGAAGTTTTAGGGAGTAAGCCATCTTAAGAGGGATAGTTCCTCTCCCTTCAGACCACCCACTCTGGCTGAGGAAGGACCCTGGGGTCAGGGAACATTTAATGGTGCGTAGTGCCTAAAGCACTTGACTGCTAACCAGAAGGCTGGCGGTTCAAACCCACCAGCCACTCCTTGGAAGGAAGGTTGGGGAATCTACTTCCGTAGTGATACTGCCTCAGAAACCCAAAGAAGGGTCACTATGAGTTGAGTCTGACTCGACTGCACACAACTACAACAATCCAAGCTAGCAGAGAGCCAGCTTAGTTCAGCATAGTCAGTGACAAGTAAATCCCTACTTCATCCCAGTTTGCCAATAGTGTTGGCAAAAACCACTGGAACAGGCAGTGTGGCTGAAAATAAGCAATCAGGTCACCTTACAGGCAGGGTGTTATAAGTAAATCAGTTCATGGCAGAAGCATGAGGACACAGATGCCCTATCCAAAGAAATGTTCTAAGAGCCAGCACAACGCCCAGGGCTCCTTTGATCCCCTGGGGTCTGAGAAGAGAACCACTGCACCACCAGTGCAGAGGAGAAAGTCTGGTTAGCTTGGAATAAACTCGCTCAGTGAAGAACAAGGACAGTGAGAGAGCAAAAAATAGCCCTACCCCACCATCATGATGTGAGATTTTGGAAGCCGGGCAACTAAAACTCAAAGAAGGAAACCAAAGAGGAAAAGATACAAAAGTTGAAGAGGAAAAAAAAAAAAAAAAATTGAAGAACAAAACCCAAAAGCAAAAACGTTCAAATCTCAAAGTAAAATTTCCTAGGAATACATTTCAAAATGGTAGGTCGGGTTTTAAATGGAAGTTCATTACAACTGCACCTTTCTAGCAGACCCCCATTCCCATGGCTTCTCCCCAGAAAGCAGCACACAGGAGCCACAGGTCTGAGCTTGCACCACCACTGCCCCAGGGCCTGCCTTGGAAGGAAGAAAAACGAACCACTGCCAACACTCTGGTGGCATAGTGCCTAAGGCATTTGACTGCTAACCAGACGGAAAGAACTCCTCGGAAGGAAAATTGGGCAACCTACTTCCATAGATATACTGCCTCGGAAACACAAAGAGGGGTCGCTATGAGTCAAAATTGACTCGAAAGCAGTGAGTTTGGTTTGTTTTTTGTTTGGCCAACAAGGGAAGAAGGTCTGAAGGAAAGGTCTGACAACCCAGGGCAGGGCAAGGAGGGTAACTGGGGATGAATTATCTTGATTAAAGGACAAAGGTAAGCGGCAAACCTGCCTAGTCAGCAGAATACTTCACAGGCTGCAGGCAGGTACTCAAAAATCACACAATGGGCCCAAAAGCAAAACACCTGCCAACACAGAGAAACATTTCTTCCCAAGTGCCAACTGACTTAAGTTCCATCTAGTCAACAAGTCAAATAATCTGACATAAATTCGAATCTCCAATAAATTTAAGGTAGAAAAGCAAGAGAAAATTTAGAAACTGTCCAGAAAAGAATTAACACAGCAGGCCCAAACTGTCATCCTTACAGAGGCCTGCCTGAAAAGCCTGCTTGGCCAGTGTCTAGAAACTTGAGTTTGGAAGGGTTCCCACCACTTCCTGATAAGAATGCCTTACCATAGAGAAAGCAGTTGTGCAAACAATATGGTTTATGATGAATAGCTTCTGGAGTCTGGGATTCGGGTAAGTCCCAGGCAAAGGGTATCGATGTGAGCCCCAGTGAAAACCTGAGTTAGGTCTGAGACTATGGAGCTTCCTCAGTCTACAGATTTCACGTGCTGTCGCAACTCATTGCTGGGGGAATTAAGCATGTCCTTTGTGACTCCACTTGGAGAGGACTCTTGGAAGCTTGTGCCCAGTCTCCCCTAGACTTAATTCATGTGCTCTTTTCTTTTTACTGATTTTGCTTTGTATCCTTTCCCTGTAATAATACAGCCATGAGTGTCACTATATGCTGAGTCCTGTGAGTTCTCCAAACAATTATCAAACATGGGGAGTGGTCCTGGGAATGCCCAACACAGAAACTAAAAATAAATCCCATTTTGATTGGAGCTGGTGATGAAACCAAATTGCTTAACACCCCACAGGTACTGGTGATGACTGCTGAGAAGAACTCATCTGCCAAGGCTGAGGCAAGCTGAGATCCTGGCTCTAGGCCTTTCCATTTCTGTTTTGGCTCCTCTAACAGTCCCTCTGGAATGACAGAATGATTTTTACATTGTTCTTGTCCCTCTGACCTAGATCATTCTCTGAATATGCCATACACGATTCCTCTGAGTCTCCTTATTTAGGTCCCAATCCATTTTCCCCTGTACTTTCCTTCTAGCAGGTATTACTCAGCTTTTTACTTTTTAGGGAGTTAGGCAAAAAAAAAAAAAAAAAAAAACTATATTTGAAGAACTTGTGCCAAAGCTGAAGGGTAGATCTCACTGAGGATATATGAGAAAACACAAAACAAAACCAACAATATAATTCTCCATTTTGGAGTGTCAAATGAAAATAACTCATCATGAATTTAGTCTATATGAAGAATCCTATCAGAAAGCAGATCTCAGAAGGTTGAATAAGAGGAGACTATCTATAACAGGCCAAACCTCCAAGATTGTTACGTTGTTGTTGTCAGGTGCCGTTGTCATCTCCGACTCATAGAGACCCTATGTACAACAGAATGAAACGTGCCCGGTCCTGTGCCAGCCTCACAATCCTTGCTATACCTGAGCCCATCTGTGGTAGTTCAGTTTGTGTGTCAACTTGGCTAGGCCTGGTTGAGTAGCTGGGCAGCTGGATATAGATTCCCCATGATGAGACTGGTAATCAACTCCACGGTGGAATCTACTGTGAGCAGCTGAGTAGCTGCCTTAAGGAATGTGGTCTGCTTTCTGTATATAAGCAGAAGCCTTGAGGAATGGTCTCTAGCTTATGGCACGCTTGGATCCTGCATGTGGCCGTGTTGTTCAGCAGCCTGCAATGCTCTGCCAGCCTTGGGACTTACAATAGACTTGAATTAATGGCCTGCCATGTGGTTTGGTAGCATCTGCCCCAGGGCCTGTGCAGTGTAGTAAATTACTTAGTGTGGCTTTTCTACCCATAAGTCTTTGTAAACTCCAAGGTAGGATTTGCTATGAGCAACTGAGGAGCTCCTGATTGCTAAAGTTGTCCACCTGGACTATTTTTGTTCAGAGTGGCACAAAACAATGTTCTGGGAGGTTCCTGCTTTCTCTCAGTTGCTTAGAATTCTGATGTTATGATTGGTTAGTTTGGCCACCAGGCCAGGCTCTAAAGGAGGCCTCCTGAATGCAGAGGAAGTCTCTCTCTCAGACTGCTGGTTGAGGAAGACGTGCTGCTAAAAAGACAAGCACTCCTAAAAGAGACACGCGCTGCTGGGAAAGAGACGCATTGAGGAGTGAGACACCAAGGGGCATTCACTGTTGGGAGAGAGACTGTGAGAGACTGTTAGGAGCAAGACTGTGGGATGGGAGAGAGACTGAGCATTTTTCCTGAACTTAAATTATATAGCCTGGTGCTTCCCTAATAAACCTCGTAATCTGTGAGTTGTGTGTGGCCACTGCAGTGAATTATCAAACCTAGGAGAGAGGTGGTGGGTGCTTTGGGAGGAATGGTTGGTGAAAGGGCTAGAGGGAGGAAGCATGTCTGGCCTTGTAGGAATAGGCCTTGGGCTATTGATGGTGATTCTGTCTTCGTCTTGTGCGGTTAGAGGAGGTCAGAAGATGTGGCCCCCTTGCCCTTTTTTGCAGCCTGCCTGGGAATGAAGAAAAATGAACCACTGCCAACACTCTGGTGGCATAGTGCCTAAGGCATATGACTTCTAACCAGAAGGCTGGTGGTTCCCACCAGCCACTCCTTGGAAAGGAAATTGGGCAACCTACTTCCATAGAGATACTGCCTCAGAAACCCAAGGAGGGGTCACTATGAGTCAAAATTGACTCAAAAGCATTGAGTTTCGTTTGTTTTTTGGTTTACTAACAAGGGACAAAGGTCTGAAGGAAAGGTCTGACAACCCAGGGCAGGCCAAGGAGGGTAACTGGAGACTGTGCCATTTTAGTCGTCAACTTTGGGCTTGTTAGCCTCAGCAGCCAGTAGCTGCCTGAGTGAAGAGATGCCTCTAGCTCCAGTGGGCCGGGAGCAAGAGGCAAAGCTGAAGCCCAAGGTTGAGGGGCCTTCACATTTCCTAGAACCTGGCACATGGAACTTGGACTTCTAGCCTCCTGAACTGTAAGAGAATAAACTTCTGTTTGT